CACAAATTACACCTAAACTCACGAGAGATAAATAAGTGTAGGTCATACAACTATTCTAGGCCCGGTATACGAACCCGGGACCTCTGCGTGGCAGAACAGCAAACATTTTAGGTCGGTTTTTTTACAAGTGGCGGGACGAATAAATCGTGCGCCTGGTGGTAAGCGACACTCCTGTCCATAACAGTTACAGTGCCACTCAGAGGTTTAAATCAGAAAGACCTAAAGGACATTGCCGCTGCGCCCGACACCCTGAGACATAAGTTGACAAGTCCCATGTGCATGTAATTTCACCAACACCCTTACACTTCAAGCCCGGAACGCAGTAATGCTCACATTACTGCTTGGCGGCAGAAATAGGTAACGTGGCAGGACTTCCCTGGACGAACTCTTTCACAAGAAGCTCTACTGCTACTATAAGCTATACACTTTTGTTCAAATATCCAGTGCAACGGAACAAGATCCGTCAATGTGTAGGGTGATGCACTGCCGTCGGTACAATTTGACTTTTGTTACGGTAAGAACAAACATTCGTTTTACACCGAGACGTACTTAGACGCGAAGGTTTTAAATTGTAGGTTATTGTTATAGTGTTACATTAAAAAAGCGCAAAGTGTAATAAACTTAAGTGAAAATTTAAAAGCATTTGGTTGACCTTAAAATGTTAAAAAACGTGTTCCTCAACGATTTCATCTATAATTACATCTATTGTTGTTAGAAGACGGCAGGTGACGCGACGGCGAGATTGTGAGAAATGTGCCACTTCTGCTTCCTAAAGCACACGTTCTTACATCTTCTATAAACATTCACACAGTGTGGACTTAAACGGATCTTTTAAATCCAAAATTCTATTACAAATAAATATGCATTTAAAAAAATTTAAAATATGTAATGTGCGGTTTTGTAACAGAGTGAACAATACTGTGGTCTGTGAACGAGAAGGGTATAGTAAAGTGGTTTGGGTACAATGAGTGGATAAATGAAAGTAGAATGGCGAAAAAGACATATAGAGCCAACGTGGATGGCAACATTGGAAAAGAACGGCCACGAAGGACGTTCTCAGATCAAACTGAGAACATTTTTGAATAGGCAGGCGCGTGTAGGGAGAAGAATATAAAGGGGTTGTATGATATACTGTCATCTGGGAACTTGCTCCCTGAACGACATGACTACGGCCTTCTCAAGGTGAGAATAAATAGACATTATTCAGGTGTACATGCTCCATTGTTGACCTCATAGTTACTTTCTATCAGGTGAAATGGAGGTCAAAGACGCACTTTTTTTTAAATAAATAAACAAAAAATGAAAATATTAAAACGAATATACGGTGAAGCAAGGTTTCTCAGGATCATGCAAAGCAGCGATCTTTAATCTATGTCTATCACGATATGAAACCGGGGACGTGAATACATAGACTTGAAATATCTATAGATATTATATAATAACTATAGATTGTATTTTTTTTTTATACCAAGTGATGGAACGAACAAATTGTGCTCCTGGTGGAGAGCGACACGCCTGTCCATCACAGTTGTAGTCACTCGAGCTTTAAAACGCAATGTCGGAGGGATACTGCCACTGCGCCCGTCACCCTGAGACATAAGTTGACAAGTCCCATGTGCCTACTCTTCAAACCCGGAATGCGGTAATGCTGACTTTACTGCTTGGCGGCAGAAATAGGTAAGGTGGCAAAACTTCCCTGGACGAACTCTTTCACAAGGACCTCTACTGCTACTCATGATATAATGGAATTTACATTGCAAAACTTTTCTATAAATGTAAAGATAAATACAAAACGATTTACTGTTTTATTTCACAGCATATAGATGTACTATCTTCATACAAACAGGTGTCATAGCTCTCACACATGACACCGATAGCGATCAGTTTACAAACTCTACACAACAAATGACAGCGCTGTAACCACCCGATAAGAGTTTCTGGGAAGCTACAGGGCAATTTGTCTATGCCGAGATGGATAACTGTCGTTTAACTGTCTGTGATTGTGGTGGCAAAACAATTACTTATCTACTATCTATTGGTAGAGCTCTGTTAATAAAGGAGGATCTTAAAACTGTTGTGGATTTTCTAATGCAATTAAACATAATTATTTCAAACGCGATTTATTCAACTCATTTGGAACGAATATTGTAACTTAAAATTATGACGAAAAAGTGTTTTTTATATTGTCCGATTCAAAATGAGATGTTATACTTAATATAAATACTTTTTTATTTACTTTTTTTTAGTGTTTTTTTAGAATACCAAGTGAAGGAACAAACAAGCGACTGGTGGTAAGCGACACGCGTATTCATAACAGTTGAAAAATCTTAAAGGCACTGCCACTGCGCCCATCACCCTGAGACATAAGTTGACAAGCCCCATATAATTTCACCGGCACCCTTATCCTTCCAACCTGCAACGCAGTAATACTCGTATTACTGCTTGGGGCAGTACTTCCCTGGACGAACTCGCTAGCAGTAAAGCTCCTTGCGAGAGAGAACAGCAATTCTTTTCCTGTAGACTTATTCCTTAAACGCAACAACTATTCTTTTCAAAGCGAGAATGTAGAGGCATTATGAATTAATGAAATATTCTCTAATGCACTTAACATTACAGTGACAACACAAGACAGTAACTTAAGTATAAAATGGTAAGTTAATATGCAACAGCCGGCCTTATTGCTATGTAGTATTATAATAGGTGTGGCATGCACACCATCGTCGACCTTATCGTCAATTCCCACCGGGTAGGATGGATCAAAGGCCACTTAATTTATTATAAAAAAAACCTAACAGTTATCCTAAAAGAGCTTTAAATTTAACATGTTAATTTATAGATATCATAATTACATCATTATAACTAAAATGTGTTGTATTTTGGCTTCCATAATGTTTTAGCATAACCGCACTTGAACTAAGTTAACCACATATTTAACAGCGCATTTGAAAATAAACTATAATCACTACGCCATACGTTTGGTATCATCTTCAGTAAACAAAACCTTTGAAAATAAACAGTAAAGAAAGAGCATAAGGTTGTTATTGAATTGTACCGCTTTGAATGGGGACGACCGTTATGGTCACTAATATGGCCGGTAAGTGTTTACCTTTGACTCTTTGACCGTGGATGTACAGAGGCTTGAGGACGCTTATAAGATATAATCTTTAATGGTGTGAGATTGTAAAAATCCGAGTCACTAGCTAATGAAGGGGCAATAAAGCACGTCGAACGGTGTTGAGAGAATTTTGTTTTTTAATTTTTAATTTAAAGTTGTATAGATTAGACAAGTATTAAAAGTAGACAATAATCGATTGAGGAAGTTTTTGATGGATGGCTAATTGGAATTGGAATTGGACGAAATTGTTCCTATTAAAGTGCCTGTTCCTATTTTATTCAGATTAACTTACACACAGACGCGAGAGGCTATAGGTATGGATATATCACCAAAAGTCGGAGTTAGCTCAAAGGGGCTCCGTTTTGTGGAGAATAGACACGCCTGCGTTTTGGTAGCGTTAAATTTGACAAGATTGACATCGCCCCAATAGAAGACTACCTTTAGTGCCACATCCAAACGGGTAACCATAGACTCTCGACAAGACTGGATTTCCTCTCCACTGTCATCAGCATACGCAAAGGTATGGGGTTAACATATCATTGATATGCAGCGGAAAGAGAGCAGAGAGTCTTCACGCAGCCGAGGTCGACCGCATGCAGTTAATGCATGAAGTTGATTAAGACTTGACACATTAACTGCTAACATGCAGTCTATCTCTTAGCAGCCTAAGGAGGTTAAACTTATCGATGAAGTCGGCGACCACAGGGAATTGAACCGCCGTTATCTCGATTGAGAAGCAACTATTCTCCCAATTGATCTGGTCTCTCGTCTGGTCCAGGATCCTCAAGTTCGATTAAATCAAAAGCTATTTATTTTTTATTCGAACTCCATTTTATCTTAGAACTAACCAAAGCCAGTAGCTTCACAAAATACCAATCAAAAGATTTTTCTTATCAACCAATAATCTCTGAGTCGTGTTGAAATTTGAATAATGCCCCTGCCGGTCACCTAATGCGTTTTTATCGTCGGATTTATCTCTCTACATTATTTACGTGTTGGAAACTTAAGTCGACAGACTATAAGTCAAACGTTGCTTAACATTTTGTAGTTTGGTTTTTGGTAGTGGCTTTAATGGGTGTTAACATTTAAGTAGGGACTAAATATGTACCGCAGCCGACGTCGATGATTTTTCCACGCCACTGCCACCGTCGTACATGGCGTAAATTCGGCGTGGCGAAAATATGTTTTGTTTTAATTAAAAATCAGATTACTTGTTATTTTTTTACTATATCTCAAGGATGCACGAAAGGAGCCTCTCTGGACGTCGTACCTTTTCGTTGTATCCGAAGAAAAAATCATAACAGCAGAAGTTGGTCAAATTTTTTAAATGTTTTTCATAATATTTGTTAGCATCAATCTTTCTTTATCAATTGATTTGTTCATTATTATACCTAATAATGGTATTTCGAAATTTAAACGATTTAATATTTTTATCTCAAAATTTTTAAGTACCATAACGCACCAAAGATATATCCAAGGACTTACGACCGTTGACCAACAAAACTATGTCAACATCCACCTTAAATCATCCTCAGACAAACGTATTTGCCGAACGCCTTAAACGCCCGCGAGGAATTTCGCGAGTGTAACACAAACAACTCTTCCATTTCAAAAATTTTGTGCAAATATTATATGTAAGATTGTAAGGCTTGGCGTGCAAATAAGTGTTACCTTTATAAAATTAAAAAGAAATCGCAACAATCGAAGATTGTTATTGCTTCTAAAATACACACTTTAGTTTTTAAAGCAACTAAACATACTAATCAAACAACGTAACGTGGCACAGTCGTTTGAAAACACACAAAATAGTTAATGTGTACGTTTGATGCTGAATTTTGTATCAAAATCAAAAGTATCTTAAAGTCGAGTTTAGAATATCGCTTACCTGTACAGCACTGTTTAGAAAACAATTGTTCAGTCCCGGGGCATTCCACAGTCCTTTCGTTGTGTGGAAGATACCGGAGTCTCTCGAATCGTCTCTCGTATGCTGCGGCTTTAACTCGCCCACGTACAATTCGTGTGTCGCCGCCATTTCGTGGCTCACGCGGCCGCCATCTTGTTAACACGACACTTCGTGACTGAGCTGGAAGTAAAAGAGGTGTATTTTAACGTTAAGAATTCATATTTTATCAGCTATAGATGTATATAGTTCTGTTCACAGAAGTATGTGGCTATTTTCAGATTTTTTTATCACACATGCACGTAAATGGTAAGAATCAATGGCAATCATACTATTTACCCCAAATAAAACCCTCGGGCCTTATTCTTCACAATACCGAGCATGGCTGTAATGAGAAGAAAAAAGGCCTGGAAGTTTTATTTTGTGTATTAATAGTCAAGTTAGCCTGCATGCCATCATACCATTTACGTGCAATTGTGATGATAAACGTGGAATGCTTCACGGGCGGTACGAAAATTACGAACCTCGACTTCGAAAGACCTCAGTCTTCGACTTCGGGTTTTGCTCGTAATTTCTTATTTAAAGCCCTTAATTCACAATGTAATTGCTGTGATTCAACAAATCATGAAGTAATAGAGACAAATAAAAATACCACATTTTCATTCACAAAGTGTTCACAATGTAGAGAAATCGCAATTTGTATGCCTAGAAGAATTATCGCACTGGAATGACACTCATAAACTATCAGGTAATGAAGGAGAATTCACATGTAGAAAAAGAAGCGTTCGAATTCTTGCCTACCAATTATTATGTTCAACAACTACACGCTATAGAACGTAATTTCTTAAAAAAAGGTGTGTAAAGTGTCATAAAGACTAGTTATTCGCGGTTCCTAATTCCAGAGTGCTATAAATTGGCAATTGTTATCCGCGTCATGAAGTTTTTTCTTCAATAAAGAAGATCTTAGAGACTATAATACGAATTAATGAAGCGATGATAATCGGTGTTCTCACGGGGTGAAGATATCGTGATGCAAGTTAGAGTAAACAGTGTTTTCGCGAATTTCCTTTGATTTCGTTTCGAGCAGTAACACCTAGTACCTCTACTATGAGTTAACGATGTTGATAGAAGTTAGCCACCGCATTGAGATAACAGTACAGGCTTCCTAGCTCTTATTATTAACAAGTACCGCTACTGTTTGATAGAGGTACTGTACGCAGCAGTGAAAAATGTACATATTTTATCTCTTATCTTATGCCTCAGAGTGACGGGCGCAGTGGCAGTGCCCCTCGGATCTTTGTAATGTGCATGGAGTACCGCTGCCACCTTTGGGATGGCTCTGCGACATATCAACTGGCCACTTTGGATTCAATTGGCAACCGTGCCGTGCTTATAGGTGACTCGGAATTAGTGGAGGCGAAACTGCAGGGCCTTGAACTCCGCCGTAAAGTTGCCTGTTTATCGGTATTTTACAGGATACATCACGGAGAGTGTGTGATGGAATTACACGATTTAATTCCGCCTTCCCCTTTCCATCAGCGGGGACTAGGCGTAGGCTTGGGTTGTGCCACCCCTATGTTGTGGATATTCCAAATATTCGCATGAAGCGTTACGCTTCCAAATTTATATGGCGAACGTCCATGGACTGGAATTCCCTGCCAGCAGACTTGTTCCCTGAACGTTATAACTTGGACCTTTTCAAGGCGAGAGTGAATAGGCAATATATAGGTGTGCATGCTCCATCGTCGACTTAATCGTCACATTCCATCAGGTGAGATGGAGGTCAAATGCGCACCTATATTATATAAAAAAATATATGTAAAGGTCTGAGAGGCACTGCAACTATTGTGATGATGCGACCTCCTTCCATCGTCATTCCGCCTTTTTGTCACCTTTTCTCTGGTTCCTGGCCACTTATTTTCAAATTTTGAATCGTTCTTGAATTCCTTTGCCTCGTCATTCTCATTTTGTTTCGCCGTCGCCACTCTCTGCTCAATCACTGAAGCGAGCAGTGCAGCTCGACTAATTTTCATCCTTTTACCAGTTTCCTAAATCATGTGCCAATTTTAATACCAATATAACTTAGCAATATTGTATGACTTCGCCCTTTTTTCCTTTTTTCTTTCGCCTTTACTTACTATATAAAGTACGCGGACCGGAATATTTTCCGTGATCCTGGCCACGCCATATTAGTGGTTTTCAACCTCTTCACTATTATGGACAGGCGTGTCGCTTACCACCAGGCGCTCGACTTGTTTGTCCCGCCACTTGGTATTGTTATTCTCGCCATTTTTCTCTCTTCCGCACAGCCTAGTGCGTTCTAGTCTATTCCGTGCTGCTGCATAATTGTTGATTCCTGGCGCAATAAGAGTTTTTTTCCAAAAATACAGTTATAACTAGTCTACGACAACATAGACATGAGCAATTAGCGTTTTTTCATTCATATTGTGTGCATCGGGGTTAACACGATTTCATATTTATTGCACAATGAGCCATTGGTGGATTCCTTTCACTATTCAACTTGCGCCTGAGAGCTATTGTTGTGTCTATGATGTGACATGAGACTTACAATTTGAAGTTTGATCTTATTTTGGACACTATATATAATAGATAGAGGAGAACAGTTACTCTTTAATTAAGAAGTAGATGCTTCGAATACATGTAACGGCATGAACATTTAAATAATAACGCACACACTCATGCCCCCACTAGGAAAACCGTGTATCGCAGGTGCCATGGACACACGAGAGAAATAAATGTAGGCCATACAAATGTTTCTCCCGGCCCGGGAATCAAACTCGGGACCTCTGCGTGGTCGTCCAGGATCGTAACCGTTCGACCACGGAGGTAGTTGAAATATTGGATTATTTGATCCTCACAGATAATTGATCTATTGAAAATGTGCACTTTTTTAAATAAACGAAATTGTTTTGTTCGATAAACGTGTATATATTAACAATTCCGTCTATATTAGTTGATCTACGGATAAATTATAAATGAAGTCCATTCAAGGTAACACTATCATTATGTTTAAGCATGCTAATAGTTGATAGTCAAATACAATATTTGATCCTCTTTTTATACGTCCACATACGTTCAATCTTGGGTGCGCCCTCCATTCAGTAGGTTAGGTAAGTAATATGAAAAAGCAGTGCAAGCCGAGTGAGCGAAGTCAGCTTGCCGCGGCAACGGGCGGCGAATGCCAGAAGTGAATTTACTTGCATTTCCGAACATGATTACGAGTTAACGCTCATTTGTCTTAGTTTTGAGGCTCAACATGAAACTATCAAAGTTAATTTATACAAATCAAACATTACCTCAGAACAGATTAAAATACACGTTGATTTAATTCATTTTATATCTCAGAGAGAAAAAATCAATAACTAAAAAAAAGACCATTTAGGTTTATTGCCTGCTGTTTTTACAAATTTAAAATGATAATTTAAATACATGCCTGTAATATATTATAATATATTATATATTGCTTTAATTTCTAAAATACGTACAATAATGATTATTTATTCATTCCGCGGAAAGTACGTGAAGCTATCGAGATTGGTCGTCATTCGAATTTCAATCGTGATAGTGGATGGTCGGTACCCCCCGGCTGGAAAACAGTGTTAGGTACTACGTCAGTGGTTAGTGTAGACGAGACTTTACAAAGTGCCGTTGTTAGTGTAGTGTGCAATCCTGCATATGACTTTAATAAAAATGAAGCAAACGAGGGTAGATTCTCGCCGACGCCGCCTGCGCCCGCTGCCGTACTGAGTGATCGGGCTGCCAGGGCTTTGGCGCGCAGTTTCCGTCGAATCACCGCCGCGGAATCTCATGATTAAGGACCACGAATTGGTTCGAAACATGTCGAGCAAAAATTCGACTTAAATCCGTTATTTTTAGTAAAACATGATGAAATGTTCATGTAGAGTGTGTGTGCATCTTCCTGGGAAATTCTAAGAAGTCTCCAACTAAGGCGCAAAAACATCTCTTTAGAGGAGGCTTATGCCCAACAGACTTATGACGATATCTCCCGTGAAATTACATATATTACGAAATTAAACTGACCCAAAAATCTTGTCATTCTCTATACAACAAATTAGTACAGACTACTAAAAACACAGACCTCAAAAGTTTGCGGAATTACATCTATGAGTATTTGCCAAGTTTTATTGAAGTCGGTTCCCGTAAAGTGCGCAAAACCGGACTCATCCGCTAGTTTGCCACCGTTAGCGGTGGAAACATTTTTTCAAATTTAAATGGTACCGAGGTACCCTCTTTCCAATAAAAAAAAATCATCAAAACCGGTTCATAAATGCTGGAGTTATCACGTAACATATATACAAAAAAAAACATACAGAATTGTGAACCTCCTCCTTTTTTGAAGTCTGTTAAAACGGTCAAACTGAATGCAGTTTGTTAAAAAATAATCAATATTTTTATAGGAAATGAAACTATTTTTCCGAATTTAAATCGCGTATATTTGTTTTTTCAAACAAACCGACGTTTCGGGCCCTTTACAGGTCATATTTATATCAGGTAATATTTTTATATTATAAAAATAAAAATAATGTTATAATAAATAAAATCTACCGTCTATATTTTTTTATATCCCCATATTAGACAACATCACATGCGTTGCTTTGATCCCAAGTAAATAACTAAAGCATTGTGTACAATACCAACACAATAAACAGTAAAAATATAATAACTATTTTGTTTCGATTCTTTGCATTTTATTTTTAATCTTTTCGAGATTTCAGATAAAGGTTTTATCTACTCCACATGTCTTATTTGGAATTACAGTCTCTAATTTCTGTTTACGATATTATCCACTTGTACTAAACTTATCTATTTTTATGATACCAAGTGACTGCACGAACAAGTCGTGCGCCTGGTAAGCGACACGCCTGTTCATAACATTTGCAGTTCCACACAGAGTTTTAAATCGCAAAGATGTGAGGGTTACTGTCATTTCGCCCGTCACCCTGAGACATAAGTTGAGAAGTCCCATGTGCCTGTAATGTCATCAGCACCCTTACTCTTCAAAACCGGAACGCAGTAATGCTCACATTAGTGCTTAGCGGCAGAAATAGGTAAAATGACAATACTTCTCTGGACGATTCTTTTACGAAGAGCTATACTTTTTTTTATGTAACACAAACAAAAGAGCAGACGAGCCACTTGAT